TGAACAGCCCCATGTCCACGTGCTGTGGGGACACCACGGGGACGTCACCTGCCATCCCCCAACCCCACCACGGCCCCAGCATCCTGGCTAAGGTGGCATCTCAGAGCATCACCCGTGTCCCCAACAGCTGCTGCCACAGGGACACGCCGGTGGCCCTGGCTGCTGGGGACAACAACAGGGTGGCCTAGGCCACCTTTACGCCTCATCGTGCTCTTGGGCCACCTCTACGTCACCGGCGTCCCCACAACCGTGGTCAAGACGACCTTGAACCCTTCACCTGATGCATCCCATGTCCTCTATCTCCCCACAAGTGCCACCACAGGTCACGGTGGTGGCCCCAGGTGCTGGTGACAATGAGACGGTGGCCTGGGTTCCACCACCTCAGGGAGCTTTGAAGGCGAGGGGCCACCGCCACGGTGACGTACTGATGGGTTTCACCACCACGGGGACGTTCTAAGTCGTGGTGCCACCGTCACGGGGATGTTCTGATGGGTTCCACCACCACGGGGAGGTTCGAAGACTTAGGTCCACCGCCACAGGGACGTTGAGGTGGGTTCCACCACCACGGGGAGGTTCTAAGGCGTGGGGCCACCGCCACGGCGACGTTCTGATGGGTTCCACTGCCACGGGGAGGTTTCTGGGGTGCCCAAATCCATTTTTGGGGTCCGCAGGGTAATTTTGGGGGTCCCCAAGGCCATTTTGGAGGTCCCCAGGGTAATTTCGGGGGTCCCCAAGGCCATTTTGGGGTCATCTGAGAGCTTTTTGGGGTGCCCAAGGCCATTTTTGGGGTCCCCACAGTAATTTTGGGGGTCCCCACGGCCATTTTTGGGGTCCCCAGGTGAATTTTGGGGGTCCCCAAGGCCATATTGGAGGTCCCCTGGGTAATTTTGGGGGTCCCTAAGACTATTTTAGAGGTCCCCAAGGTCATTTTGGGGTCCCCTGAGAGCTTTTTGGGGTGCCCAAGGCCATTTTTGGGGTCCCAAAGGCCATTTTGGGGTCCCCTGAGAGCTTTTTGGGGTGCCCAAGGCCATTTTTGGGGTCCCAAAGGCCATTTTGGGGTCCCCTGAGAGCTTTTTAGGGTCCCCAGACCTATTTTTGGAGTCCCCAGGATAATTTAGGGGGTCCCCAGGGTAATTCTGGGGGTCCCCAAGGCCTTTTTAGAGGTCCCCGAGGCCTTTTTGGAGGTCCCCAAGGCCATTTTGGGGGCCGCTTCCATCGCTTTTAGCCACGGTGGCTGCCCTGCGTGGGCGGGAGGGGCTGTGCCGGGTTTCGGGGTGCCCTCGGGAGGTTTTGGGGTGCCCTGCGGGGGACCCCGAAATTTTAGGGGGGCACCCAAGGGGTTTGGGGGGGCACCCAGGGGGCACCGACACCCTCAGACCCCGCCATGGGGACCCAGGGCTCCAGGAACCTCCCCGTGGTCCCATCTTGGAGCCACATCTCAATGGCTTCGGGGTTTTGGGGCGGCACCCAAGGGATTTGAGGGCACCCATGGGGTTGGGGGGCACCCAAGATTTTAGGGGGGCACCCAGGGGCTTGGACCCCCCCACCCATGGGTGCTCCCCCTCCACGCACCTCCGCCTGCTTCAGCTCCTCCCGGCTGACGTCCTCCAGCGAGGCCTCCAAGAAGTTCATGGCGTAGCGCTCGATGGGCGTCAGCTGCCGCAATGGACACCTGGGTCCCGCGGACGCCGGGGTCCCCCCCGGACACCTGGGGCCACCCAACCTCCCCGTGGCTGCCTGGGTGGCCCCAAACCCACCCTGGGGACCTTGGTCCTTCCAGCCCCCCAACCTCCCACGTTCTCCTGAACCCCCTGGAGACCTTGGTCCCCCCAAAGTCCCCGGACACCGGGGTCCCCACCTGCTCCACCAGGGCGGCGATCTCCTGCTCGGCCTTGGAGAGCTCCTCCTCGGGCTCCGGGCCACCCCGCTCCTCCTCGGGGCTGAGGCTCTCGCTGAACTCGGCCAACGCCGCCACCCGCTCCGCCTGCGCCTGCGAGGCCGCCCGGATGTCCTCGGGGTCCTCCGCCCTGCACAGCGCCTGGGGACAACGGGGACGTCAGGGGGACATCAGGGACGTGGGGGACATCTGGGGTGTTGGGGACATCAGGGAGATCAGAGGACATCAGGGGTGGTGGGGCCACTGGGGACATGAGGGACATCAGGGACGTAGGGGACATCGGGGACGTTGGGTGCACCAGGGAGACGGGAGGAGGTGAGCGGACAACGAGGACGTGAAGGACATCAGGGATGTAGGAGACATCGGGGACATCAGGGACACGGGGGACATGAAGGACATCAGGGATGTTGGGGACATCGGGGACATCAGGGACACGAAGGACATCAGGGACGTTGGGTGCACCAGGGAGACGGGAGGAGATGAGGGGACATCGGGGACATCAGGGACATTGGGGACATCAGGGACACGAAGGACATCAGGGACGTTGGGGACATCAGGGACGTAGGAGACATTGGGGACATCAGGGACATGAAGGACATCAGGGACGTCGGGGCCATGGGCCATCAGGGGACGTGGGGACATGGGGTGGCATCGGGGTGACATGGGAGGGACGTGGGGTGACACGTGGCCCCACCTGCTCGAGGATGTGTGTGCGCCGGGTGGCTGCCGGGTCCTCGTCCTCATCGGGGGGGACGTCCCCGTCCCTCTCCTTCTCCTTCTCCTTGTCCCTGTCCGGCTCCCGGCGTCCCGGCTCCTCCGGCGCCATGTCAAACAGCTCCCGGATCGTTTGCTGGGGGGGGTGGGGGGGTCAGTGCCACGCCCGGCCACCTGGGTTCCCCCCCCCCCAGCCACCTGGGTCCTCCTCTTGGCCACCTGGGTTCCCCTGGCCACCCTGAAGCCATTGAGATGTGGCTCCAAGGTGGGACCACAGGGAGGTTCCTGGAGCCCTGAGTCACCATGGGGTGGCCAAGGATGTTGGTGATTGGACACTTGGATCCTCCCTGGCCACCTGGGTCACCTCCTGGACACCTGGGTCCCACTGGACACCATGAAGCCATTGAGATCTGGTTCCAAGGTGGGACCACAGGGAGGTTCCTGGAGCCCTGGGCCCCCATGGGTGTTGGTGATGGGACACTTGGGTCCCCCCGGCCACCTGGGTCCCCTTTGGACACCAGGATCCTCCAGGCCCCCATCAAGCCATTGAGATGTGGCTCCAAGGTGGGACCATGGAGAGGTTCCTGGACACCTGGGTCCCCATGGCGGGGTCCAAGGGTGCTGGTGATGGGACACCTGGGTCCTCAGCTACCTGCTTGAAGTAGGCGGTGGTGAAGTTCCCCCCCTCGATGGCCATATCTCCCAGCATCCTCTTCTGGTTGGCCTTCTTGAGGATGTTCTCCTCCACCGTCCTCTCGCTGATGAGCCTGAGGAGGGGACAAAGCTGTGGGGGTGAGGTGACCACGGAGGACCCAGGCGTCTAAGCGAGGACCCAAGAGTTGCGGGTGCTAGACGTACCGGTAGATGTGGACGTCACGGGTTTGGCCGATGCGGTGGCACCGGTCCTGGGCTTGGGCGTCCATGGTGGGGTTCCAGTCGCTGTCATAGAAGACGACGGTGTCGGCACCCGCTAGGTTGACGCCGACGCCACCGCTGCGGGTCGAGAGGATGAAGCAGAAGATGCGCTTGTCGGCGTTGAAACGTTCCATCAGGGCCTGCAGGAGGCAGCGCGGCGCCGCCCGGACGCCGGGGTCTTGCGTTAGAGGGGGGCCCAGATGGTGGGGTTCCCCCTCTGGACGCCTGGGACCCTCCTGGCCACCACAAAGCCATTGAGATGTGGCTCCAAGGTGGGACCACAGGGAGGTTCCTGGAGCCCTGGGTCCCCATGGCGGGGTCCAAGGGTGCTGGTGATGGGACACTCGGGTCCCCCCCGGCCACCTGGGTGCCCCCCGCACCTGGCGCTGCTCGACACGGGTGCTGCCGTCCAGGCGCAGGTAGATGTGGCCGTGGTAGGTGAGGAAGCGCTCGAGGATGTCGAGCATCCGGGTCATCTGGGTGAAGATGAGGACGCGGTGGGCCCCCGCCTTCAGGCGCCGCAGCAGCACGTCCAGCGTCTGCAGCTTCCCTGGGGGGGGACGCCGGTGTCACCGGGGGCCACCGCCAAGGGGGAGGGGTGGGGTGACCCCCCCTTTGGGATGGGGACGGGGGTGGTGACTTTTTGTTGTATTTGTCAAAATTAAGGAGACAGTTTGTCAGAGTGGACACCTGGAGGAGTCAGGAAAAGAGAACTTCAGACAGGGTCTGGTAGTGATTTTCTTTGCTTACTGCTGTTGTCATACAGCTGACAGGAATGAGGAATATAATTATTAGCAAGTTTTTGTCTCTGCACCAGAGCACATGCTCTGATGCCCTGTACCTGTAGAGATCAAATCACACGTGCTTTCTGTGTGAAGGGAGAGGATGGTAAGTTATGAAATGGAACTGTGTGCCTGCGTTGGTTTACAGGAACATTCTTCTGCTTCAAGACTTTAAATGTGCTTGTTTCAGTGTACTGAAATCAATTTACAGGAAGTCGGGCTCGACTGATTCACTTTCTGCGTATTGATTTCTGCCCAAAGCGAAACTTCTCATATTAACAAAGCATGAGTGATATTTTTTTTTTTTTTAGACATCACTTGAAATGACTGAAAATAATAAAGACTGTTTTCTTATTCTTGAAGGTTGTGCTTTTTTAAAGGCGAGATTTAAATCTGAATAAGAATGATTCTGGGTAATTCCTGTAATGGTGATGAAGTTTATAACTGGTTTGTGCTTATATAGAACAAGAATTCATACTGTTTTCCTGCCTTTATTTCAGTACCTTTTCTTGATCTTCTGAAAATAAATTAGCCACTGCCTGGTATAATAACCTGTTTTCAGGGTTCCAAGAACAGCCTATCCATATGTCAGTCATGACAGATAAAGAACCACCACCTGATGACAGGTCCTGAAACAGAGTGAGAAACTTAAAGCACTTCAGTTAACTTAGTTTATTCCTTCTGTCTCTTTGATTCTCTTCTGTTAAGATTTAGGGACGAACAAGACTTTTTCTTTTTTTTTTTTTTTTTTTCTCCTGTGTCTGCTTCTTCTGTTTTTAATGGAAAATTAACTTTCAGATTTTCTTCCTTAGTTTTTATTCTGCAGCATGTAAAACAGCATGTAAAACTTCATGGAATTTAGGAATTAGAGTGTAATTGTTGTTTTACAATGAAAAGGGGTTATGATTATTTCAATATGTTGGTAGTGTCTCTAGATTACGTCAAAATTTTGTTTTAGAGAATATCTGCTAAGGCACTACATAGATTAGTAATGTAGGGACATGTTAGAGCTCTGTTGCGTTGAAGTGCAAAAACTTTATATGGAGAATTAAATATTCCTTCACTGGATTACCGTAAAACTTGTACTCGTTGACAGAATACTAAGACAATCAGAATTGCTTGACTCCTCCAGATTTAACCAAATCAAAAGGTTTTCTGAGTGCCTTTATTATGGAACAGATTTAACTCAACTGGTGGTGTTTTTCATACACCTATTACTATACTTACCATGTATAAAGCTCTCCTTAAATCCTTTCTGTCACTATCCTTCTGTAACTACTTTCAAGCTGTTTTTATCACTCTTCCAAACAGTGTAGCCCAGGTTCTAAATAAATGATCATGGATTGATGATCATTCTGTAGGTACTTCTAGTTGCCCAGTCATCTTAAAAACTTAATCAGAAGTAGGTTTATCCTTTTCATGTGTAGAGTATGCATGTGCCCTGTAAGGATGTTCATCCATCAGATTACCTGGTTAAATTCAGAACAAAACCTAGATTTTATTTTGCTTATTGCAGCTAAAGATGAAGTGGGTTTTCATTGCTTGATCAAATGCCTGTTACATAAAAAATACTTCATCCTTCTGCCAAACGGTTTTTGGATAAAACTGTTACAGATTAAACGGCCAACATGGCACTGCCTTCCTGCTATCTTTTAGTAAATAGGACTCTGGTTACTGAGAGATATAGTGTCAATTGGCTGCTGTTAGACAGCTATATAGGAAGTTTTTAATCTCAGTTTTATTGTGGATTTTGACAAAAGAAATTATTTCTATAAGCCAGATATTAAATTTCTTTTAAAGTTGGAAATTCGTACATGAGTGCCAGCTGTTATTAGTGCTATTAACTGTGCAAACCAGGCTAATTAGCTTTCATCTGAAGTCTTCTGCCCTTGTTCTAGCACAATCCTTGAAATTGTTTAAACACAAGATTATCTCAAACCTTTTAAAAAGACTGGATTTTTTTTTTCTGTGCAGAACACTGAGCTTTATAAACAAGTCAGGCTTTCTGGATTTATACGTAGAACTTCTAATACTGAACTTCAGTGTCCAGTGTATGTTAATTGGTATTAATACACCAATGTTCAAATTGGTATATTAACCTGAGCTGCTTTCTGAGACCCATGTAAATGAATTTAAATACTTGAAAGTCTAGCAAGTGTTTGAAAATATTTGCATAATTTTGAGGGAATTGAGAGGGGGTAATATGTAGCTGCTTGATGATTTGAAAAAACAAAAACCCAAACCCAAAACAAACCCGACTTCTTAAAAAAGCAGTAAAACTTTAAAATATTAGTGACTAATGACCATGAAAGTGAACAGTGTACCTATACAAATGATGGAACAGTGGGCAAGGAGTGATGTTGATGCCAATAGCTTGAAACTCACTGTATCATGTTGTAAACCTTACTGGAAAAGGGGCACTCAAAAGCAAGAGAGTCTT